AACAGTAGAGATGGAATGAACAAAAGAGATGGAATGAACAGTAGAGATGGAGTGAACAATGATGGAATGAACAAAAATGATGGAGTGAACAGTAGAGACGGTAGCATAAAGCCAGCAAGAAAATGAAAGATGGTTTAAACTGTAGACACAGCAAGGAAGAGATCGTGCGAACATTTATGGTAGAATGTGATGGAATGTAATGATGGAATGAACAGTAGAGATGGAATGAACAGTAGACATGGTAAGAGCACATAACTGTAACATAAATAATTGTTCACACGTGGAAAAATTCTGGGACTTATTAGGGATTTCCTATCAACCCTAGCTGTTCCCAAAGTGAAACCGATTGGTTTTCGTAACTAAGCGACTTAAACGGTTGTTTTGAAAAATTTCAAATTACGTACAATAAAAATTGCGTAAAAACGTAGACTAGGAAAAATTGCAAACAGCAAAAATGGCGATGGTGACCCACAAAAATCTCCTTGGTTCGAGATCAAAGCGTGATCAAACCACGACATGTCATCTACATAGATGTCACTAAAAGATAACGTGACAAGTGCTATTCCAGCCACAGCTAATAGATAGAGATGGGCACTTTTCCAGACACAACTAATAGATCGCGCAACAGGCACTATTCCAGACATGACTAATAGATTACACGAGAGCTAATCCAGAGACACGACTGATAGATAATGCCACAATTATTCCAGACACAACTAATAGATCAGACACGCTATTCCATTTGTCTGCTGCAGCTTTGACAACACGCACCACTACTGCCACCTGGTGGCTCCATGCATGCTGGGAAAAAGACTTGCAATGTGGTGGGTGCGTTGTCTTGGTAACAGCGTGGCTGTATGGATGACATTCACATGGGGCAGTCACGCAAGCATCAATCAATATTCCAATAACTAATCAATAACCAAACATGTATGAATAATTCAATACCTAATCAATAATGTCAGTCATCCAGCATCCAATCAATATCAATTATCTACTAAAGTAAATAACAGGTGCATACCTGCACGCACGCACGCACGCACGCACGCACGCACGCACGCACAGAGAGACACGTAACACAGACTACGCACACGCTACTAGTCGCGATGCTACCATGGCAACAAGAGCAGACGACAAACAGGCACAGCCGAGTGACACGGGCTTTAGTGTAACCTCACCTCCAGCACGGAGAATTTCTGTTGTTGATGTGCGCAGCGCAGTGTGTGTGTGTGAAAACAACAACGACACGGGCACATTACGCAAGACGCATTATAGCACGCACGAGACTCCAACTAGCAATTCCAAATAACTGTCTGAACGCTGAATTTAATGTTAATTTTACTGTATTTAATGTTAAAACTGTATTAAATCCTGTATTTATCCCATATTATCCTTTTCCTCTGTATTAAATTCTGAAGTGTTATTAAATTCTCGTAGCTAATCAATTTCAATTCTCGCTTTTTCTTTTTTAACTTTAACGACTTACACGATCACGAGCAGTTATCGAAAGTGAATATTACAATAATTCCCACTAGATGTCACTGCAAACAACTATCGTCGTTGAATGATGCGGATCTTTAATTTAGAATATTTAACACCACTAGATGTCTCTGCCAACAACGCGAAATCCAACTGGGTCATGGTCGACATAATATATAACGACTTTTATATTTTTACCTGTATTATAAATTTAAACAATATTTTTACTGCCACTAAGTGTCTCTGGCAAACAGGATAAGACATCCGAATAACGTGATTGTAATTATTCAAACTACCGCAAGGTGTCTCTGGCTGACGTGTTTGAGCGACTATATTGCCAGAAGTAAAACCATGTCCCAACACGAGTCTGCAGCAGTCACAGTAATGATTATAGAGCAAATGCCGTCAACCTGCCGGATCTCTGTCTGATTCTGTGTCGCTTTGTTGCGTCACGCGCCAAATTTCCAAATTTCCTGCCTGCTTTAATTACTGCATTCGCCTCTGCACAACAGATAATGAATAATATCCAGCTCTCTCGCTCGCGCTCTCTCTCTCGCGCTCTCTCTCTCTCTCTCTCTCTCTCTCTCTCTCTCTCTCTCTCTCTCTCTCTCTCTCTCTCTCT